GCAACATCATTTTCTGCAAAAAATGCATATTAATGCATTCAACGTGTCTCATATAATGTTGCAGTGAACATAAAACCCCCCAAATTGAAGGCCTGAAATAATGTTTGACTGGCATTGAGCATAAAAAAATAGATTTAGGTAAAATATCAAGCAATATACTGTAGTTAAACTTATAGTTTAAAAAAATAATAGTAGCGTATTTGACTCTGTTTTAAATAATTAAATCATTGCGGTCAAATGTACAAACTAGTGGATTGAAGGTTATTGGGAAAGTATAGAGTACTATAATTTAATACAAAACAAAAGAATCAAAACAAAATAAGCATTTAAATAATTATTAAATGTATTATATATAATAATGTGTATTATTAATGATATTATTTATAATTATTGTTTATTAAATGAATGTATATTTATTGTGTCATACATTTAAATACGTTACAGTATTTTAATGACTAAATCATGCTGAAAGTCTGTGAGGATAGTTGTTATTTTTGGCTCTGATAATTAAACGGGACACATTTAAATGTTTAGAACGCCCCCTTTTCATATTTGACCCTCCCATGTGATTTTGTAGCTTTGCATGAAAACATTGGCTTAAAACGTGGCTCGTGTAAATGAAAGGTACAGTCAGAGTTTAATTAAGCGTACAAAAATAACCCTCTTGGTTTTTAATGGTGATTTAAGCAGTGATCTGTTTTATTACATCGCCTCACGTCTAAGTGAGTTAATTAAGCGTAATTAATTGTTGTTTTATCTTCACGTGAATTAGTTTTGACCCCGTTTCCATTTTCTTTTTCTAAACACAGACCCACAGTCAGCTTAAAGTGATGAATGAGGCTGATGTAAGCGCGGGAGATCTGGGACGAAATGCATCAATACCGACGGTCCGTTTTCCTATTGGACTTTTTTCAGCAGAATAAATACAAATAATCCAATAAATTTAAAAGCAAACATGATAAAACAAGAATAAAACCAAAATGCACCATTTAACAAGACTTTAAAAGGGCTACGTTTTAACTTCACACTAAAACAAACACTTGTAATTGTAAAAACACTGTAATTTACGGTAAATACTGCAGTGTTTATAGTGAAGTGATTGAATTGCTAAGGTAACACTACAACTACAGTAATATAAACAAGGAATAATACTGTATTTTTCTACAACTATAGGGTATAATATACTACAAAACACCACAGTTTACTCTAGTAAAAATTAAAGTATACTACATTATCACTAATTAACAAGAGAGTAGCCTAAATACTGTAGTATACTTTGCTTGATGGTTCAAAAACACTACTATAAATTACTCTGGTATTTTTCAATGCAGCATTAGATCATTTTCAGCATGACCTTATAGAAAACTATACAATACACCACATTTTACCGTAGTAAAAATTATTTTATTAAAGTAAACTACAGTATTTGTACGCTGTAGTGTCATTGATTAACAGTGTTGTAAGTACTACTGTGTTTCTACATGCATAAATACAGTATTTATTTGATTAACATACATAACAGACACAGTATAAGATACTTTACTATAATATTTACTATAGTATTTGTTTTGTTTTGATTTTCATGCAAGAATTTTTTTGCATGACCTTGTAGAAAAAGCTATACAATACACCACAGTTTACTGTAGTAAAGATTAAAGTATACTACATTATTGATTACTGTTGTTTATCAGTTTACTGTATGTTCTAGCACTAATTAACAAAGAGTAGGTTGCAAATACTACAGTTTCAAAAACACTGTACTTTTCTTTATGTGGGTTTTCATGCAACATAGATTTTTTTAAAGCATGATCTTGTGAAAAACTATACAATACATGACAATTTACTGTAAAAACAACTAAAATATAGTATATAACAGTAGTCGATTACACTATAGTATTTACTGTAGTATTTTTCTTTCATGCAACATTAGATGTGTTTTCTGCATGGCCTTGTGGATATAGTGAGTTTTAGATTTTACTAGACTAATTGTATACAATACCCCATGATTTACTATAGTGAAATTTAAAGTAAACAACATTCATTAAAGAATACTACCGTTTCAAAAACACTGCAGTATTTTTTAATGTGGGTTTTCATGCAACATAACATTTTTTTAAAGCATGATCTTGTGAAGAACTATACAATACTCGACAATTTACTGTAGTAATGCCTAAAGTATAGTATATAATGTACACTGCAGTATTAAATAACACTATAGTATTTCCTGCAGTATTTTTCTTTCATGCAACATTAGATGTGTTTTCTGCATGGCCTTGTGGATATAGTTACTTTTAGATTTTACCACACTAACTGTACACAATACACCATGATTTACTGTAGTGAAATCTAAAGTTTACAGCATTCATTAAAGAATACTACAGTTTCAAAAACAGTGTATTTTTCTTTATGTGGGTTTTCATGCAACATAACATTTTTTTCAGCATGACATTGTGAAAAACTATACATGACAATTTACTGTAGTAAGGACTAAAGTATAGTATATAATGTACACTGCAGTATTTATTAACACTAGTATTTACTGAAGTATTTTTTCATGTTGGTAACTATTATATGGTTCAAAAACACTAGTATTTATTGCAGTATTTTTCTTTCATGCAACATTAGATGTGTTTTCAGCATGGCCTTGTGGATATAGTTAGTTTTAGATTTTACCACACTAATTGTACACAATACACCATGATTTACTGTAGTGAAATCTAAAGTTTACAGCATTCATTAAAGAATACTACAGTTTCAAAAACACTGTACTTTTCTTTATGTGGGTTTTCATGCAACATAAATTTTTTTAAAGCATGACCTTGTGAAAAACTACACAATACATGACAATTTACTGTAAAAACAACTAAAATATATATAACAGTAGTTGATTACACTATAGTATTTACTGTAGTATTTTTCTTTCATGCAACATTAGATGTGTTTTCTGCATGGCCTTGTGGATATAGTGAGTTTTAGATTTTACTACACTAATTGTACACAATACTCCATGATTTACTATAGTAAAATTTAAAGTAAACAACATTCATTAAAGAATACTACAGTTTCAAAAACACTGTAGTATTTTTTAATGTGGGTTTTCATGCAACATAACATTTTTTAAAGCATGACCTTGTGAAGAACTATACAATACTCGACAATTTACTGTAGTAATGCCTAAAGTATAGTATATAATGTACACTGCAGTATTAAATAACACTATAGTATTTCCTGCAGTATTTTTCTTTCATGCAACATTAGATGTGTTTTCTGCATGGCCTTGTGGATATAGTTACTTTTAGATTTTACCACACTAACTGTACACAATACACCATGATTTACTATAGTGAAATCTAAAGTTTACAGCAATTATAATAGAATACTACAGTTTCAAAAACACTGTATTTTTCTTTATGTGGGTTTTCATGCAACATAACATTTTTTTTCAGCATGACATTGTGAAAAACTATACATGACAATTTACTGTAGTAAGGACTAAAGTATAGTATATATATATATAGTATATATGCAGTATTTATTAACACTATAGTATTTACTGTAGTATTTTTTCATGTTGGTAACTATTATATGGTTCAAAAACACTAGTATTTATTGCAGTATTTTTCTTTCATGCAACATTAGATGTGTTTTCTGCATGGCCTTGTGGATATAGTGAGTTTTAGATTTTACCACACTAATTGTACACAATACACCATGATTTACTGTAGTGAAATCTAAAGTATACAACATTTATAATACAATACTACAGTTTCAAAAACACTGTATTTTTCTTTAATGTGGGTTTTCATGCAACATAACATTTTTTAAAGCATGATTTTCTGAAGAACTATACAATACTCGACAATTTACTGTAGTAATGCCTAAAGTATAGTATATAATGTACACTGCAGTATTAAATAACACTATAGTATTTCCTGCAGTATTTTTCTTTCATGCAACATTAGATGTGTTTTCTGCATGGCCTTGTGGATATAGTTACTTTTAGATTTTACTACACTAATTGTATACAATACACCATGATTTACTATAGTAAAACCTAAAGTTTACAGCATTTATTAAAGAATACTCCAGTTTTTATGCTGTTGTAACATTGATTAGCATACATTCTGTAATATACACATATCAGGCAGTGTAATATGGTTCAAAAACACGGTGGTATTTTTATTTATGTGGGTTTTCATGCAACATTAGATTTTTTCAGCATGACCTTGTGAAAAACTTGTAACTTTTGTCATCCGCGTTGAGTTCAGTGTGAAGAAGCCCGACCCATGAGAGAGAGAGAGAGAGAGAGAGAGAGAGAGAGAGAGAGAGAGAGAGAGAGAGAGAGAGAGAGAGAGAGAGTTGAAAACAGATCACCCCGGGGTCTCACCGCAAACAGTCGCGCTCTCCAAAAACTCTTGTGCTGTTTTTATTTCCCAAAGTTCCCCGCTCGTCCGCGCGCTCCCCAACACATGATCCCGCCCAACACAACTTGACTCGCTCGTTCTCACTGATGGAGCCTAAAAGTTGGAGAAAGTGAACTTTCTGTGAATGATTCCCGCCGCAGATGTGCTGAATCCGTGCTGCTCTCCGCTCGTGTTTTGATGGATGTTCGCGGGACGCGCTTCTGTTTGCTGGAGCCAGAAAGTTTGCAGTGAAGAAAGAGTTTGATCGTGTTTGCGAGCTTTGGTTCACTCTTTACAGCTGGTAAGGCATTTCTACACACGCTTGGACGCGCATGTTTATATTTTAGCGGAGATCTGAGTGTGTTTTAGTTTTGACTCGTGATGTTTTAAGTTTATTGTTGAGGCGTGTGTTGTTTAAAAGTGCACCATAGATGAGGAGAGACGAGATTTTCGACTCTTGTTTGACTCCTGACACTGGAATCCCAAACATTCTCCTGCAATTTGATCCATATGGGGGAAGATGCGATCAGAAGGTGCCAGGCACCAATCCTGAACACATCTACTCATCCAGGCGTGCTAGAAAGAGTCTGTGTGTGTGCTTTAGGTCGCTCGTTATATGCTTGTTCACATTTCATGCAAAAAATTAAATAAAAAATCTTGGGTTGTTTTAACCTGCATATAAATTAATTTTTACTTCACATTTTATTTTAGTATATATTTTTTTCGCTATTAATAAAACAGTTACTGAGACTTTTAGCGCAATAAACTACTAATTTGCTGTTTAATAATAATTAGCAAGGTTGTTGTTGGGATTAAGGGTGTAAAATAAGAAACTTTATAAGTACTAATAAACATACAATATCCTAATATACACATTTTTTTGCTATTAACAAACAATTAACTGAGACTTTTAGCTCGATAAACTACTAATTTGCTGTTTATTTATAGTTAATATGGTGGTAGTTTGGATTAAGGATGTAAAATAAGAGACTTTATAAGTACTATTAAACAGAAAATATCTTAAGATACAGATTTCTGCTATTAACAAACCATTAACTGAGACTTTTAGCTTACTAAATACTAATTGGCCGTTTAATGATATAAATAAGGTATTAGGGAACTTTATGAGTACTAATAAACAGACAATATATGCATGCATTGTAAAAATGCATGATTTTACACAATAGATTTTTGTTTAGTACAACATGAAGAAATTAAGTTGACTTACTACTACAAATTTAAGTGGATTAAGCATAAAATAATTAAGTTGTTCCAAAAAAATCCTGAATAATTTTGTTGTTTCAACTCATTTTAAAATAAATAGTTTGACAAACATCTTTTTTTTTTGAGTGTAAGATGCCATTTTTTGCTATTAACAATCCACTAACTGAGACTTTTAGCTTAATAAACTACTAATTTGCTGTTTAATAATAATTATATAGGTAGAAGTTAAGAATAGGTATTGGGGGTGTAGAATAATTAACTTTATACAGATATTTGCTATTAACAAATCATTAACTTTTAGCTCAATAAACTATAAATTTGTTGTTTAAAAATAATTATTAAGGTAGTTGGTAATAATTAGATATTAGGAATGCAGAATAAGTAACTTTATAAGTACTAATAAACAGACAATATCTTAATATATTGTAAAAAAATGCGTGGATCGATTTGTTAAGTACAACTTATACATTTTTGACCCAACCATATTTAACCAGCATTGGTTTAATATCCTTTTTTATTTACAATGTAAGAAATGAAATGATCAAAAAGTCATCACTAGATGTTTTTAGATGTTTATTACAAATATTATACACATGTATAAACCCAATGCTTGGTTAAATATGGCCTTATTTTTACAAATTTAAGTGGATTGAACATAAAATAATTAAGTTGTTGCAAAAAAAAATCCTGAATAATTATGTTGTTTCAGTTCATTTTTAGATAAGTAGCTTGACAAACATTATTTTTTAAATGTGTAAGATGACAATTTTTTGTAAATAAACGACTAATTTGCTGTTTAATAATAATAATTAGTTAGGTAGAGATTGAGGATAGGTGTTGGGGATGTAGAATAATAAACTATATACAGATTTTTTGCCATGAACAAACCAATAACTAAGACTTTTATTTCAATAAACTATTAATTTGTTATTTGATAATAATTAATAAGGTAGTAAGAGGGGATTAGGTATTGGGGATGTAGAATAAGCACTTTTATAAGGACTAATAAACAGAAAATATCTTAATATATTGTGAAAAAAAATGCATAGATCGATTTGTTTAATACAAAATGAAGGAATTAAGTTGCCTTATTTTTACACATTTAAGTGGATTAAACATAAAATAATTAAGTTGTTGCAAAAAATCCTGAATAATTGTGTTGATTCAGCTCATTTTTAAATAAGCAGTTTGACAGATCTTTTTTTTTGAGTGTAAGATGACATTTAATTTCTATTAACATACCATTAACTGAGACTTTTAGCTTAATAAACTACTAATTTGCTGTTTAATAATCTGTCTAATAATAATAATGATTTCGGTAGAAGTTGAGGATAGGTATTGGGGATGTAGAATAATAAACTTTACGCAGATTTTTGCTTTTAACAAACCATTAATTAAGGCTTTTAGCATAATAGATGATTAACTTGTTGTTTAATGATATTTAGTAAGGTAGTAAGAGGGCATTATGTATTAGGATTTAGAATAAGTAACTTTATAAGTATTAATAAGCAGAAAATATCTTAATATACTGTATAAAAAAGCCTGGATCGATTTATTAGGTACAACATGAAGGAATTAAGTTGCCTTAATTTTGCAAATTTAAGTGGATTAAACATAATTAAGTTGTAAAAAAACTGATTAATTGTGTTGAACATCTTTTTCTTTTTATGTGATACAATTTGGCTATTAAAAAACAATTATCTGAGACTTTTAGCTTAATAAACGACTTATTTGTTGCTTAATAATAATTATTTAGGTAGTAATCGAGGAGAGGTATTAGGGATGTAGAATAGGAAGTGTTATAAGCACTAATAAACAGAAGATATCATAGTAACAAATGATTTGTGTTGGCACAACATGAAGGAATTAAGTTAACTTATTAGTTTTTACAAATTTAAGTAGATTGAACCTATAAAACGATTAAGTTGTCCCTCAAAGAAAATGAAGAATTGAGCTGTTCATATTGAACAAACAGCAAACGTGGTTTTAAGCAGGTAATAAACCACGAGTTAATAGTGTGAATTGGTACTGAAATTAAAGTGTTTCCTAATTTTTTTTCTAAATGACGTTTAAGTGACACCTTTTAACCCAATGGTTGGGTTTTTGACCTAACATTGTGTGCAACAACCCAGCTTTTTAAAATAGTAAATGCACTTTAATAAACAAAAAAGTTGTGAAGTAATGCATGTGTAGGTTTTCACGCAAAGTAAATAGCATAACGAGCTGTACATTGCAAGTCAGAAGACTAATGAATGCAGACAGAAGTTCACAAGCTGTTGAGAGTTGAAAGACCTGATGTTTGCTCTTCAGACACTCTTTTCTCTCTCTGTTTACTGTTTGCTTTTTCCTCCTGAAATACTTACAATCAATTTCTGTGATCTGCCTGGGCCGTTACGCCGCTTGTGATGTGTGAGAATACACTGGAGAGGAGAAGAGAGAGAGAAAAAATAGGAAAAAGCAGACATATAGAAGACAAGGAGCTCAAGATTTCCAAAAAAACTCTAATTGGCCCATTTAAATCCTGGAGGAAAAAAAAGCAGCATTTCGGAGGGAGTGAGTTCACATCCATTAGCATGAGAAAACAGTTTTAGTGCGTTTGCCATTGTGCGCAATGAGGAGTTCTAGCAGTCAGAATAAAGGATGTGAAAAAACCACGGGCCCATTCAGGATCATTCAGGATCCGTCCGAGCTGACGGTCACCGGGGCCCTGGGGCCGCAGGGGTCTCTTTCATCTCCCCCGGAGCCTTTTTTTCACACGTCCCGCTCTCTCAGTGTCCGTCAGCCCTTTTCTTATCCTCCTCATTGGATGGAGAGTTTAATGAAGCGAACGCTGAGCTGAAAATACCGCAGGGCCTGAATGGAAACTGAGTAAAACTCCCCGCCGAGGCGATTCAGAAGTTAAGACAAGAGTCCGCTTTCACGCAAATCCACCAATTAACCAGGTGAACAAACCCTCGAACAATCGCTGCGAGCCGGTGGCAGCAGATGTCTGGAACGCTGCGCAGGAATTTCAGGAGCGTTTCCACATTTTGCACAGGGCTTCATCTTAATGCTGGAGTCTAAAATCAGTGCCGGTGTGTATTATTTACCCTAATGTAGGTCAAATATGGACAAGTCCAATAATGGGTTAATTAAAAAAGTCACTTTAGATTACATTTTGAACACAACCAAATTTATTTAATACAACTCAGTTAATTAATTAATTTATTTATTTATTTTAAACACTCCACGATGTATTAAAAGAAATGATCAAAACTGGCATCAGAACATGTTTATGTTATTAGAATTGGGTAAAATATGGACAAATCCAAATTTGTTTAATTTATTAAAAGTCCTTTTAGAATACATTTTTGACCCAACCATATTTAATAATAAAAAAAAAAACTTACATTTTTTTATTTATTTTTATTTTATTTTATTTTTTACAATCCACAATGTTAGAAATGAAATGATATAAAAGTCATCAGTACATGTTGTTTACATGTTGATTACAAATGCTGGATTTATAAACCCAATGCTGGGTTAAATATGGACAACCCTGTGATGAGATCAACAATTTAAATCACATTTTTAACCCAACATAATTTAACCAGCATTGGTTTCTTACATTTTTTATACAATTCACACTGTAAACATGAAAATGATTAAGTTTTTAGATTTTTTTTATTTATTTTTTTCAACAGCTGGATGTATCTACCCAATACTGGGTCAAACATGGACAATTCCAGTCATGGGCTATTTTTTTAAATCACTTTAGATTACATTTGAACACAAACATATTTAACCAGCATTGGTTTAAGACAACTCAACTTTTAAAAATGCTGGATATATAACCCCAATGCTGAGTCAAATATGGACAACCCCAGTGATGAGATGAGTCAATTTAAAATGCAATTTAACCCAACCAAATTTAACCAGCACTGGTTTATTACAATTTATTTATTTTTTACAATCCACACTGTAAACATGGAGATGATCAGAAAGACATCAGAACGTGTTTTAAATGCTGTTAGACTTTAAATTCTGGATGTATTCACCCAATGCTGGGTCAAATATGGACAACCCCAGTGATGAGAT